TGTGAAACAGAACGCAGATCTTAAAAATTTCAGTTATTCTATTTTGATTAGTCTTACTCTTATGTCTATCATCTTTTCACATTGACTTGAATATTGTCTAATGTTAATTATGTTTTAATAACTGTGTCCTGAAGAAGGTCTACTAGACCGAAACGTCTGACATTGACATTGAAATAACATTAAAACAGTATATTTGCATATTCGGATTTTTGTTTTTCCATATATTTGCTTACATATATATATATATATATATATATATATATAGAGAGAGAGAGAGAGAGAGAGCGAGAGAGAGAGAGAGAGAAAACAACCTTTTCATCAATGTAGAAGTATCAGTTTTGATTGAGCTGATCCATTGCTGATGTCCTAGCTACCATTATTCACAGAATTATTGAGGCTCTTGATGACAATCACACCTCCAGGACCATAGCATTAGATATCTCAAAGGCCTTTGACAATGTGTTGTACAAAGGATTCCTACACAAATTCTCCAGCTGTAGAATCACTGGAAGAGTCTTCTCTTTTATAAAGTTATTCCTAACAGGTAGGGCCCTGAAGATAGTTATTAACTGGCAGTTCACCAGGCCCCTGGATGTCAATGCAGGCATCCCCCCCAGGGGTCACTTCTCAGAACAACCTATTTACATTAATAATTTGGCTAAAAATATACTCAGATCATTTGTAAATATCTACACCAATAATACAACCAGTAGATCCCTAAAACTCTTGATGATCAAAGTTTGGCAGCTGATCTCTCATCTGATATAGCACTAACTTCATAATGGGGGAAAGACTGGCTGGTTACATTCAATCACACAAAAACCAAAGGCCTTACCAGTTGTACACTGAACTGTCACCAGTTATGATGAACAGATGTCATCTTGGGGAAGCTCTTTGCCTTAAAAGACTACTGGGCCTTAATCTCACCCCCTGGCCACAAATAGAATTCTTGCATACAATCCATTACCAAAGATGGAGGATAAATTGTCAAGTACTTAACCCTTCATGCTATCCTCTACCTTTACAAGAGCCAGATCAAGCCAAAAATGAATTACTGTTGCCATATTTGGGCAGGAGTTGCTCAGTCCATACTTTCCAGTCTCAATAGAGTTTAAAGGCATCTTGTGGAAGAAGAATTATTTTCCACCTTCTAATCTCTCTCTCACAGGTGGAATATGTCGAGGCTCATGCTGCTTTATCACTACTAACATTGAAACTGCTTTGAAAAACTACATTCCCCATGGTACCACTAGGTCTACGTTCCACAGCTAGGACCTGCCATGCTATATATATTGCAGAAAACCACCCACATTCCCTCCATATTCCATTGGTGGGAAGTCAATTTATTGAACAGCTTCTTCCCATGAACCATAGCTCTGTGGAACCAACTTCCAAGAGGATTTTTTTACTGATCACTACAATCTTTATATATATATATATATATATATATATATATATATATATATATGTGTGTGTGTGTGTGTGGCTCTGACAGAAATTGAACCTGCATTCCATTTATCCATCAGGGAAATGACTTTTTGAGCCAAAGTGCACCTTTACCCATTTCACCATCAGGACTAGCCTGACAGGGCAAGGTCTGAATTTCCTATTTAAGGAATACACATTTTGATATTTTGATTTTCTATGAATGTATATCTGCTAGCTTCAGTTTCGTCCCTTTCGGTAATATTTCTTCCATAGGATTTCTCAGTTTCACTGTTATAAAATAATAAAGGGGGAAAAGAACTCAAACATGTGAACCCATTAAAAATAATGTTTATAGTAATAAGAAATAATCTTTTCAAATATATATATACATATATATATATATATAAAAGTGAACATTGAAGTCAACACTTACAAGCAACAGTCTGTTTCTAAGTGTTGACTTCAATGTTCACTTTTATATTTACGCACGCTCTATCTCTGATATTGAGCACTTTATCCCATAAATATAGCACATCTTTAGACTATATTTATTCATATATATATATATATATATATATATATATATATATGGATGCATTTCAATAGAACTACAAAGATCATTTGTGAATCAAGAAGTACAAAACTACAGCCTGATGTACCACTCACAGAGAATCAAATTCATTGTAGGAATATCTGTCTGAGACTTGCATGCTAACTGCTGCACTATTGCTTCTTGGTATTTTAAAGAGAAATTCATTTGTAGATCCTGCCTCCAGACCAAAATAAAAATTAGTCCTGCTTAAATTAAAATAATTTATTAAAATATTATTTTACTAATCCACTAACCTTTGAAATATGTAGTTATTAACCATAGCTTCGTTTGGCAATGACTGCTTCTATGTGTGCTCTGTACATGTGGCATGGTGTCAAAACTAAGGTAAGCTTTATAAGTAATTATCCTTGAAATATATACAAAGAAAATATAAGGATATCTCTACAATTTATATAAGTATGAAGTATTATAAATATCTATCTTACATATCTATCAGTCTACCATTCGTCAATGCTGAGTATATTGCTGCCACATATGGTCTGGTGCCCCTGCTATTTACCTTGAGCACCTTGGAAGAATCTGCAATATTATTGGTCCTGATCTAACAGCTCAGCTCTAGTCACTTTCCTACCACAATAAAGTTGCCTCTATGTCTTTTCTATAAATACTTTTACAGTAATTATTCAAATGAGCTCTTCACTATGACAGCTAGAGTCTTTGAATTTAAGCACAGTACTAGACTGGCATTGAGATCTCATCATTTTAAAGCTGAGTTGGCTAGATGTAGCTAAAAATTCTATACTAACATTTTCTTCTCTTGCACTTCTTGCTTGTGGAACTCCCATCCGGCTTTCCAGCCAACTTTAATCTGAAAAAAATTAAATGCAATGTCAATCACTATCTACAGTCCTCCTGATTACTCTCTTCTCTTTCTACTCATCATTAATGGTGCTGTCCTTAATTCTGACACACTCTGTAACCCCTTATCTTTTAGTCATATTTCTGCCTTCCTTGAGAGGATTCCAAAACAAGTTATCCATGTCAACAAACTGTTTTTAACAAAATGATACAGAACAAAAGCAAATAATAGCCTGGCTGTAGGAAAAGGTACAACATTCATTAACAAAAAGTCTAAATCCAAATTTCTAACATTTTAAACAAAGGAAAGTACTATTTATTGCCTGGCTTGTGAGGTGTGCTACAAATTAGGTCTGTGGTGTTACACATTAGTCAAAGGAAAAGAGAAGAGGGAATTTCTTTTTGAAAGCACAGACTTTTAAAGGTATGGCTGCTGCTATATATATCCCCTACAGCCAATATAGTGTGTCACTACAAGAGAATGATTTTATTGCAATAGGTGGGTTTCAGTATTTAAACATATTTTAGACTGCTATCTTCAATCTCATAGTTTTTGATATGATATGTGTTTCAGTTTTTAGTAGATTATTCTTTTTCAACATATCAACAAATAACTGAAATTCAAGAAAATATGTCTTTGATATCAAAAACTTTAAAGAACAATTTCTACTTTCAAAATTTCTCAAAATTTGAATGAAAAAGAATTAGTTCAATGTGCATCATAAAAAACAATGATACAGCAAAAGTTCTCAACTCTTTTACAGGGGATCAAACAGTAGTATCTGTTAGTTCTTTTGAACAGAGCAACTCTTATTTCTAACCTGTGAAAATAAAGATAAAAGAAAGCTATTCAACACATTAGTATTAGTGTTCTTTTGACTAGTACATAGTTAGGTTTTCAATGCTGCTTCATGGGTGATCACTGTGACATATTTGAAAAGTTAAGTCATTTTCAAAACTTCACAGACAATGCAAACATTTGAAAGAATGATTCTGATTGATTTCATGTATTTTCTTGAACAACAAGACAGGAGAGCTGCTACTTGAAATAAGGAAAGCAAAGTGTCAGATAGTGTTTTTTCCTTGCCATGGTAGAATGACTTGTAAGAAAAACAGTTCCTCTTTTACAGAGATTGAATTCCTTTTTTTGTGTCAGCTTTGTAAGAAAAAGTCATTATTCACAGCTCTTACTCCATGTTCATCTTAAACTCAAATATTAGTCTGATCAAAGATAAAGCATAGACAAAAATGTTGTCCTCAAGCTTTGAGCTGTCATGTCCAATTAATGGGTTGTTTAAATCTAAAATATGAACCTAAAATCTCAAACTATGTTCTTAAATAACTACATCAGAATAAGACTTTCATATGGATGACATGCATGGTGCTAAACTTATTGAATATTATCTAAATTGTCAGCAGTACACAACCACTTTCTCAGACGAATGGTTAAAAATCACTTCCAGCAAATGTAGATCTTTATGAGAACTATCATTTTTCGAACCTTGCGGTCTGGTGCTAGAGAATCATAAACAATGTACTGTACCATATAACAGAAAACACATCATTGATGACTTACAACAGCAACTAAAATGGATAGCATATTAACAGAGAAAATAATGACCTAATCAAGATGTTGACATTCCACATGACTTCAAACAATAGGTTAGAAAGGCAACACCAACCAGTACTGGAAAGAGTAATGACAGCTAAAATGGATAACAGATGCAACTTAAAGAGAAAATAATGACCTAATCAAGATGTTGACATTCCACACAAAAGTTTAGCATGGGGGTGGCCATCAATAATGGAAAGAGCAATAACAATGAATATGAGAAACCTATTTTCCTAAAAAATTGCTTTAATTAAAAGATTATATAAATTTCCACCAAAGATACCATTGGCTGCTCACTCATTGAATGCCTTATATTTCTTTATAAAGAAACATCTAATATTACCATAACGACTATTGCTGCATGTTCCTTGGTTTCTCAAAGTTTCATGCTTCACATTTGTAGCATTTATGGTAATTGGAATGCTGGTACCAACCATCGGTCTTAATTGGGAAAGCAGACAACTAATGATATTTCTACAAGGTATTTGCACAAGAGATAATAATCAATAAATAAACAGAAGAATGGTTTTATGAGACATTGTAACTTACGTCATCATCTTGACTTCTGGTCTTCTCAGGTGGCGGCAAAGAAAAGCGCGAAATGCTGGCATTGATTCCTTGGCTCTTTCAATGCATCGTAGAATAGCGTCACAGTTGTTGACCAAATTGACATGGGCTTGAAGAAGTGCAGAGAATTTCACAAAAATATCCCCAATGCAACTTGTGATTCCATTCCAGTCAGCAAAACGGTTCTTAAGGTTTTCACTTAATTCCCTGTGAAAATACTCATACAGAATTAATATGGAAAAGTTTGTTTTTTTTTTTTCACTTAACTCATGTTTATTTTGGAGTTTCATAGCTACATATGTATAAGCACTCACTGGAACAGATTTAATCTATACGAATACTCATATATATGTGATTGTATGTGCATGTGATTTTATATAGATAATGGCATATATATATATATATATATATATATATAGATATATATATATAATGTCATCTACAGACAGACTGTTTCACTGTATCACAGCTCATCAGTGTGGTTAGACGTTTGGTTACCTCTAGCCAGAATAGAAACCCAGCTGAATTAGCATCAGTCAAAGATTTTACCCCTAAGTCATTGGCGCATAGCAGTGATAAAGGTGAACATAAGCGTAAGATGTGTGGATAAAAAAAAAAATGTACCTTTGTCATTACAATGGGAAGCTTTGATGGTGCAAAAAATATGTGAGCTCATAGGTATACAGTTGCTTCACAAACTAAGTAAAATTATCAATAAAAATGAACCAGACCTCTACAGGGACAACAGTCTCATAATCTTAAGAAGCTGTAGCAAACAAAACAGACAAAACCAGAAATACAACCATAAAATTTTTTATCCGCAAACTTTCTGACAATTCTTTCAGTGAAACCATCTTAAAAGATAGTGCATTCTCAGCAACTCTCACATACATGCTATACAGCACAAAAAAAGCTAACAGGAAAAGAAATATTATATTGCTTAAACCACCATACAACAAAATTATAAAAACAAATGAAGGAAAAATATTGATTAAAATGATGTGCAAACACTTTCACAAAGATTAATTAAAGACAACTTACAAATACAAAAAGAAAAACTGAGTAAAAAGCTTAATCGCAGTACTTTGTTAGTGATCTTTAATGAAATTTGTATAAAAAGGAATTTCTGGCCAAATGGATAATTATGACTATAATTATGCATAATTATATATATATATTTTAAGACATTTTTACTTAAATATTTGTATCTCTAAAAAGAATGTATAAACATAAAAATGTCTTAAAATTATATATATATAGAAAGTGAACATTGAAGTCAACACTCAGACTGTAGCTGATTTTTACAGTGTTTTTGTTGAATATTTTGTGTAGGGTGCTTGATTCCAGGAACTGTTTGTGTAAAAGTTTGTAAGAATATTTTACCTACGTTTGTTTTTATGTTTTTGCTGTACGGTGGGTTCTACATTTGCACCGAGAATGTGGTACAAATAATAAAAAAGCAGAACAGGAAAACTATCAACAAATCACCAAAACAAATTAAACCCACATGTAACTGTAGAATAAAGAATGAATGTCCCTTAAATGGTAATTGCTTACAAAACAACGTAATATACAAAGCCACAGTAAAACGACCCCATAATGAAGAAAAAGTATACATAGGAGTAACTGAAGGACCCAGGAGATGAAGAAACTATGTACACAAAACCTCTTTCACAAATAGTAAATGCATGAACAGCACAATGCTTTCTAAGTATATCTGGGGAAATTAAAAGCAAGACAAATCACACCAAAAATATCATGGAAAATAAGGAAAAGATCATCAGCCTACAACCATCAATCCAAAACCTGTAAACATTGTTTGGTAGAAAAAAAGCTATTATTACCTACCCAGACCAAAAGAAATTACTAAATAAATGATCTGAGCTCATCTTGAAATGCAGGCATGAAAACAAAATTTTACTATATTACTTAAAAACAGAAAACTGTAAAGAATTAATAAAAATAAACAAAATAATAATAAAAAACAAGTAAAATTAATTAACCAAAGCAAATAATAAACAAATTAAGGAAACCATTCCTGTTAGAATAGACAAAATAGAATAAATAAAAATAAAAAATAAATACATAAAAAACAAGTAAAAATAATCAATTCAAATGAATAAATAATAAACAAATAAAACAATCATACCAAAATAACCATTAGAGTAGACTACAAAAATCAATCCAAAAATTGTATGAAAAAATAGCTATAACTGCTATATAACGATAACAAAAATGTACTATGTTACTTACAAATGGAAAACCAAAAAGAGTAAATAAAAATATACAAAATAAAAAATAAAAATAAGTAAATAAATAAGAAAAAAGTAAAATAAATTAATCCAAATAAATAAACAAATGAACAAATTAACAAACCGTTCCTGCTAAAATAACCATTAGAACAAATAAAAATAAATAATCAATGCAAATAAATAAAGTAAAAAACAAATTAAAAACTGCCAAAATAACAGAGTAGACTACAGCAATTAATCCAAAAACTGGATGAATAAATAGCCTTATCTTCCCAAACCAAAACAAACTATTAAGCGACCTAAGCAAATCCCCCGAGAAAAAAGAAAAAAATTTTACTACGTTGATAAAACATTGAAAACCAAAAAGAAAAAAATAAATGTATAAAATAAAAAAATGAAAAGAAATAAAAACAAAATAAATTAACCCAAATAAATAAATAAATAAGTAAATAAACAGGCCACTCTCACCAAAATAACCACCAGAATGGACTACCTACAATGCACCACTGACCCATATATATAGATAGTTGAGAAAAAACCCAATACTTGTAGACTGACAATTGCCAGTCACATCAGTGAGTTACCTTCAATATTCACTTTTTTTATTTACATACACACTATCTTTGATATTGAGCACTTTATCCCATAAAATATATATATATATATATATATATATATATTTTAAAATAGTTATTCAAAGAATAAATTAATAAAGTTAATGTAATTAATGGCAAACTCACTTTGCTAACAGATTAAGAAGGCATTAACTCATTGATCACTTGCTGAATGACATGATCCTTGTTTTCATTAATTGTAAAATGGATTAGATGTTTGGTCCATATTACTTGCAAGTACTTTTAGTATAAACATTTACCATCCCCAGGCATAGATATTATTTTTCTTTTTCCTCAGTTTCAAGTAATTTGGGGTAAAATTCCAAGATTCACATTCATTTTCATCTCAGAATTAAGTTTAAAGAAAGTTTACAGTAGATGGCACTGTGTTGCCATGTAGACTAGGTTACATTTGTCATTTGTGTACAATTGTAGCTAATCTGTCTTCAAAATTTAATATGTGTAGTAGTGAGAAGTGGTCTATTTAACAATGGCAGACTATTCATATCATCAGCAGGCAGATATGATTTTTACATATGTATGAATGGTAATGGACGCAAAGCTGCATCAGATTGCATTTCTAGACTGAAGGTCAATGAGTCATCCAACCCTTGCTGCTGTTTATCATCGCGTTGCTGAAACAAGATCCATGGCACCATAAACTATGAATCGAGGAAGATTGAGAACCACTCATATGTCCAACCATGAAAAACACATCCTACAGGCAATCAGAGATGATCCAGGTATCAGCACATGTCAAGCGACCCTAACATGTCATACATCTAATAGTAGAACATGGAAGATGCATTTGCCCTCTGATGACTCACCGCAGGAGAAATTTTGCCAATGGTTTATTTCACAAACTGCCAATCTGTTGTTTGTCTCTTCAGTTTGTGGCAATATTTGAAAATGGGATAACAAATTTATACAACCAACCTTTATGTATGGATCAGAATCCCCATGGTGCAGTACAGGCTAGGCACCAGCATCAGTTTATGATTAATGAGTGGGCTGGAATTGTATGGTAGGTTCATATGTTCTCCCAGCATGTCTTACAGGGGCTGCCTACATGGATTTTATTTTGAAAACACTTCCAGACCTGCTAGAGGATGTACTCCTGCTAATATGAAAACACATGTTTCATGCATGATGGGTCTCCAGCATATTTTAGTCATATTGCTCACATCTACCATGGAACATGGATAGATGGGGAAGACTGGTTACATGACTTGCAGGTTCCCCCGACATCTGGATTTTTAGCTGTGGAGCCACCTAAAACAATTAGTTTATGCAGCAGATATTAATAATGCAGAGATACTTCATCAATGTATCAAACCATTTGACATCGTGTGGGAGTATTTGAAAGGATCCGGCATTCAATGTTCTGACAGGTGCATGTGTAGAAGCAAGTGGAGGATATTGTGAACATTTATGTTTTCCTATGTTGAGGTGCAATGATGGCCTTTTAGACATACGTTTATATGGATATTTTACCTTGTTTTGGTGTCAGGAACCTTCCCCCAAATTTTTTTCTCAAAACTGAAAACAATTTTGATATCATATTTCTATAAAAAGGGCCAATCAATCTTTGTTTCTGTACCCTTAATATGATAGTATTGTAGGCAAAGATTAATAAAGAAGATAAAATAAAAATATTTCTTGAATCCTCTGGAAAGTATTACTTACTTTACATCTCATTAACATTAACATCTACAATTCTTAAGGACAGGTGTCCTGGGTATGATGATAAACTATATCCAACTAATATCTCTGATTAGGAGGCTTTGAGGAGCGTGGAACCACCTCTTAATTGCTGATGCTCCCAGATCCACCCTGACCTGGGGTGGTAACACTTGTTAGGGTCCCAGCTATCGGAAAATAATTAACCCTGAAACTGAGGTAAAAAGCATTATAAAAGTGTAAAAATATGTTTTAATACCAGAAATACTTTTGTTATGGTACAATATCCTCACACCACAGTTATGGTCCAAGGTTAGAACCAAGGAAGAAGAACACGAACACAAGAGTAGAATAACAAAGATATATTACAACAGAGGTATAGTTGAAGTTGTTAGTAATGACTGTCCGTCTGGTTTAGAGTGAACTAATATTGTCTCAACGCGTCACACCATTCATTCATTATACCTCTTGAGAGATGCAGTATTTATAGTGTCAGGAAGAGTCCATTATCATTATAGGTAAGTTCCCATAACAACTTTGTAAAAAATTATTACCAGAAATAAATTTTTGAAAAAAAAATATTAGCAGCGATACATTTTTGAAGAAAAATATTACCAGCTATACGTTTTTGACAAAGTAATATTACTAGCTAAACGTTTTTGGAAAAATAATTTTACCAGCTATACGTTTTTGAAAAATAATATTGCCAGTTATATGTTTTTGAAAAAATAATATTGAGGTAAAAAATAAACAAACCAAACCAAAACAATCTTAAGGACAGGTCAATCAGCTAACTTCATTTCTGAAACTTCTGAATACTTGGATAAGCAATACAAAAGACCAAAGACCCTCTACGAAAGCATAGAGCAATCCTACTTGCACCCTCCACCACCATTTACCAATGTCAAGATAAACCCTTGTCAAGAGGTCAGTTCTCCCTACCCTTTAGCCAGAAAGCAAAACAGGCTGATCAACTCCTTTAACTACCAAAGAACTAATCAGGATGATTGCCTTCTACAAAGGAAGCAGGGTCTCTTCCTTTTTAATCTCTCTCTCTCTCTCATTTCTCTTTCATCTATCTCATGTCTCTCTCTCTCATCTCTCTTTTTCTCTCTTCTCTCTCTCTTTGTGTTCAAACATACCATGGATACAATTTATTTTCACAAAAAGGAAATAAACCTTCCAAAACTATGTTCACTTGAATGTAAAAGTTAACATTTTGTATCAATCTGCGCAATAAGGGATTTGTATTAATGGTGAATATTTCAAAAGATATGTCTTCTTACTTGTGAACCTTGTGAATAGTGAGGATGTCAGTAAAGATGATCTCCACATTCTGCAAACTGATGATGGCTCTGAAAAGAAGCAAGAATAAGTAAGTTAAAATCTTAATATATTGATTATACTTGTTTTTCTATTGTGTTAATTTCTGTTTGTTTGAATTTGGTAGGTTCATTAACTTCATTTTCATGCAAATAACCTTGGGAAGAGTATGAATTTATCTCTCCCCCGTTATGGGTTAAATAGTAAATCTGTCAATATCAGTTATTATAAAAAATATTGTTAAGCACACATAAAAAAATAATTATTCTTACAATTGAAAATATAGATTGGCTTTAAATAACCCACAAAGTCTTGATAAGCCATGAAATACAAATCAATGTATCAATCACTAAGTTCTATGTGGTGTTCCAGATTCCCACAAAATTACAAGAATTCTTCAGCTCCCTGGATATTCTTCCATCTTTTCAGATTTTTGGAGTTACACTCTTGTATCATATGGAACATTACATTTTTTTAATCGAATTCACGCCATACAAGGTAGTAAAGCCACAAGGGGTTACTGAGTGTGAAAGAATAAGAAGAAAAGAGAAACATTATTAAGGAGCAAGGACAATAAAAGATTAATCAAGAAGACAGTCGATAACAATTGAAATGGTATGTAAATTTTTAAAAATCAAATTTGGCTAGAAAATACAGAGCCAAAAACAGAGTCCCACAAGCGAGAAGTGCGAGAAAAGAAACTCTTAGTATAGAACTTACAGTTAGATCTAGCCATTTCAACTGTAAATTGATGAGACCCTTAAATTCATAAAGCTGAATTACCTAAGTGAAGGGTTTATCCACAAAATTGCCATAAAAGTATTTATAGAAAAGGCACAGGAAAGCTAGATTACAGTGGTAAGAAAGTAAGTGAAGCTCAGATGCCAGATCAGGACTAATAATATTGCTGATTCTTCTTTGGATTTTATCAAGAATCTCTAAATATCAAGAGCACCTAACCATATGTGACAGCAATATTCAATGCATAGATGAATAGTAAACTTACTATCATTATTATTAACATTATTATTATCAAGAATAATAATCCTTTCTTTCTTTTATTGTTATGATCAATTTTCTTCTCTTCCTATTCAGTAATTTTTATTATTACTACCCTCGTTATTATCATTACTGCTTCCGTTTCTTCTTTTCGACATATCTGATATTATTATTATTATTATTATTATTATTATCATCATCCATCAATACTCCTCTTCTAGTTCTTATAGTCATTACCTCATTGTTTGTTAAGAGCAATATTTACCCACAGACACATTTACATGATATATTGTCATGCACTCTGACTTGCAAATATCTTTACAAGCTAGCAATTTTCTGATCAATGCCATCACTTTTATTTGCCATTATGACTGTTATTAGCTATCAAGTGAATGCCGTCAATTTCCAGAGACCTCAGGTATGTAGCAGACTAACAAGTTCTGATGGTTCGACATTAAAACATCAGAGGTATTGTCACTCGAATCTCAATTGCCTGGTGGCTAGTTTCATAACACTGAAGCCTTATATTTAATAGAACCATTAGCTATTTCCTTTCAGTATTGAAATTATTAGAATGGGGATATTTATTATGTTTGAGGTTGGTTATGAGAGAAGATTCAAGGAAGATGAATTTTAGGCTCATTTAATTTTCTGTTAATTATTATAGCTTTTATAAAATCCAGTCAGAAAGCATCTTCTCAAGAATTAGTGCTTTGTGGAACAAACTCTCATATAGATAGTTCCCAAACACTATTACCGTAACCTCTTCAAATCCAGGATCAAACTTTATCTATCCTTCCTATCCTCATAATCTGAAGATTAGACGGATAAGGAGGACATCTTGTTTCTTCTTATGTTCATATCACACACTTCATTTAGTAATCTTAAATGCTCTTTAACATGCATGCTTGTAAGACTCTGTGTCTCAAAACTCATTGGTCTAAAACAATTAATTAAGTCTTCAGTGTTAGAGTAATGGGCCAGAAGTTTTAATAGCTGGTGTAAGAGCCTACATGTTCATGCAATCAAATGGGTAAAGCACAAGAAAATTAATTTTTTTTTAAATTAGTTCTTCACTTTAATTATATGCAAAAACTATATAAGAGAAGATAATGTGTGAATTTTTACACATCCAAACAATATATATAAATATTCTAAAACCAAAGACTCAGAAGAAATTCCAAATTCGAGGTGATGATCATTCAGACAAATCCAACTGTAGTATCATATGCCAATTAGATAGACAAATATAAATAGAGCACAACTGGCGAACATAGGGAAACTATGCCTAACAAACCCAGTTGATATTCAGGACACAAAGAACTGTACTATAACTACTACTATGAAGTGAGATATGTAAAACATAAAATCAACAAATAAAGGTACATTATTTTACCAACCAACTGTCTCACAACTATAATTGAGAAGAATTTAACATAAAATTTGTTACAACTACTTCTTAAATAATAAGGAATTTATTTAACGCCAAACAAAATAATAGGATAAAACTTTGATATCTCTCTATATTTCTGAGATGAGGTATTATGTACACTATGTACATTATTCGGACTATTGTCCTCGTCTTTGTCGCCATATTACAACGTTTCGGCCATTGTATGCTCCGGCCTTCTTCAGTTGGTTGGAATGTTGAACTGAATCCTTTATTTCACTCACTGGGGTAGACTGTTCTAGTTCCATGTGCCATGTTTAATGGATGTTAGTTATCAGTTATCTCCTGTTAATTCCCCTCTCCAATTCTTCACTGCCTTAACCAAGGACACATGGCTCAGTAGATAAAGGTGTTGGTTAGATCTAGTGACAGGACCCAAACAGTGTGAGTTCAATACCCAGTTAAGGCAGTGGAGAACTTGGAGAGGGGAATTAACAGGAGATAACTGATAACTGACATCCATTAAACATGGCACGTGGAAATAGAACAGTCTACTCTAGTGAGCAAAATAAAGGGTTCAGTTTGACATTCCAACCACCTGAAGAAGGCCAGAACATACAACGGTTGAAATGTTGTAATAAATATGGCGACAGTGATGAGGAAAACAGTCCGAATAATGTAACTAGTATAAAACTTTGAATGAGAAATTTACTCCATAACTATAATAATTGCCACAAATAATACATAGGAGAAACCTCTAGGAATTTAAATAAAGATTATATGAACACAAAAAGGATATTCTACAAAGCAACACACTCAGTGGTTTGTCACTGTAATGAGTCTAACCATAATTTTGACTTAAAAAATGCAGCTTTAATTAAAAGACAAAGCAATTTCAGTCAGTTAGTTAATAGCCATATGTGATGCATGCTTGGGTGACCATGTTTCTTTCGATCAATTACTGACTAAACAGATTTTGACCAGAGTAGTTTGCCATTTCTTTCAGCAGTAGACTGGTTGCCAACTAAGGATATAGGACCCAGTCTGTCCTGCTATTCACCCCATAGCTGGAAGGAGAATAGGTGGATTCATGCCTTTCCTAAGGGTATCTGTGCATGTGAGTGTAATGAATTTGACTGGAATTTGAACCTTGCTCTCTGATTTCCATTTATGAACCAGTATCCATTGCACCACAAAGCAATTTACTAAGATGGAAACGTGCTTCATTTATTTATAGAAAGTGCTTTGATTGCTAGATCAATGGCAGTGATCCTGGTTCTTACAAGATTTCTCCTTTCTCAGCAGATCTTCTATTATCACAATGTCGGATACTTAATCATAAAAGTGATAAAAACGAAAGAAAAGCACAAGAAAACTGAATGAAAAAGACACAACTAAATTCCCAGACACATTTAACGAAAATCAAAAATTTCAGCATTCCAACATTTTCTGCATTCCAACATTTTCTGTCTTTCATGTCTGTTTCTTAAATGTAACCAGCGCTTGCATTTTTATATTCCCCTTCCTACACGACATATCATTGCATCAACATAAACATTACTTTAGCCTGATGACATCCTGGATGATGAAAGACAAAGTTTGTCACACAGATTTTTTTGTCACTTTGTCATTAATTTTCCTAAACTATGAAAATAATAATTTAACTCAATTATAAAATAAATATTAGGTTCCTAAAATTAAAATTTTTTAACAATACAATATTCCTTGATGCATTTCATACACTTTGCACCAAATTGTCATTATTTTTTATGTATTTGAAGATACCTATTCTTAGAATTAGAAAGAAACAGCTGAAATTTCTAAAACATATAATGAGAAAAAAGGGCTTGGAAAATTTTACACTCACAAGTCCTACTGAAGGACAGTGGGAGTCAGAAAGCTACCTATGAACTTATATGAATGCATGGTAGAAGGTAAAGTTGGGGGGGATTGGGAAAGGCAAACATCAAAAAGAGCCTCCAAGGATAGGAAGTTGTGCATAGCCATGATTATTCACTTCCTAAAGAGACATGGCACATAGAAGAAGGAAAAAAATTTATTTTATGTCAAGTTACAAGGATTTAAATAATAATATTTGTTCTCATACTTTATAATAAATTTATTTATAAATACCATTGTGACTGTATTTGATTTATTCCAGCAAAACAACTGAAAAATTTATCTACTAAATGGTTTCTGAAGCTTAACCTATTGCGAAACTTGCTCACAATATGTTGACCTTTACACCAAAATTTTAAATAGCAAATACTTTAAAAGGTTTTTAGAAAGCATTTTTTATCATACTAAAGTTCACCTAATACAAGGCTCAACAGCCACCCATGGCAGATGGTTACTGTTAAAATGATAATAATGAATGTGGTCTGTGATAAGAATAAAAGAGAAGGTCATAAGAAGGAAAGTTTAAAAAAGATAGGTAACAATTGACCCTTGACTTGAAAAGTTTAAAATTGTAGATTTCAAAGAAGTATCCACACAAAAGACTGTTTCACAAAGCGGAAGTACTTGGTAAAAAGCTATCAGAGTAGAACATTTGCTTTACTTTTGGAATATGAGGGAAATGAGGAAAATCCAACACTGTGGAAGAAGCATATGTCCTAGCTGTAAAGGTCTGAGGAAGTCTAAAGCCCATCTGAACATTTGCCATGGAAAATAGTGATAGAGTAGCAAGGGGCTTGCAATGTTGCATCTATGTGAATGAGAGAGCAGAATGGAGAATACATCCCCCACCATTAGACTGCGGAAACAATTTTCAATGCAAGGCTGAAATATGAGCAGATTCAGTCCAGTAGCAATACTTGCTTTTTGATCTAATTTGACTCTTGCAAAGATAAAATATGGCCGACAGAACTAGGTACTTCCAGAAATGGTGGAACTAAAGAATGGTGTTCTTATAATTAGATATTTTGATTCTCTTGTAAATCTTTTTGATAAGACAACTGAAGAATCATTTGAATGGTTTGGGGTGGGGTTGCTAAGTTAGGGTGCCTTTGGAAACTCAAGAGTACAAATTTTTTGCTTTATCTGACATGCAAATGGTAATATTATTATATTAGCTATTTTCTTATAAAGAAGAATTCAGCATTCATTGATCAGGCAGTCAGTTGATCAGGCAGTCAGTACTACTGTCAGTTGAAATTTATAAAATCTTTATATTAAAACAATCTTTTAGGAAAATTGTTTTATCAATATAATAAGTGTTATTGCTCATTTCAGTATTAATGGCAGTTTCCTTCCTAACCTTTTGTTTGAAGTAATGTGGAATGTCATCATCTTGATTATGTCATTATTTTCTCTTCAAGTTATATGACATACATTTTAGTTGTTACTGTTCTAGAAATTCCTCAAGTAATGCTTCTATTATTTGGTCCAGTCTTTATTTTGTGATTCTTCAGCTCTGGTCCATGAAGATCTAAGAAGAACGATACTTGCTAAGACCTAAAGGCTTCATTTGCTCAAATCTATTGGGATATACTTTATAAAACAAGCTGGTTTAACTTGGACTACTAATATGAAAGTACTTTCAAATTTAGGAGCACTAGGCTTTCAAATGTAGCCCAATTTGACAACCATGTCTGGGATTTCCACAAGTACCTGTTGGAATCCAATGCAGCAGAAAGTGGCTTGAAAAGACAGCCTTTAATCCACTGAGCAAAAGCACAAAGTCCATTTCCGAGGAGAGAATCTCCATGCCAACACATGTCCGCTTATCTGGTTGGGCAGTAAAATCTTCAGCACTCTGTGAATAACAAAAACATTACTTTGAAAGAAAGAAAGAAAGAAAGAGAGAAAGAAGGAAAGAAAGAAAGAAAGAAAGAAAGAAAGAAAGAAAGAAAGAAAGAAAGGGAGAGGCAGATGAATGAAAGAAAACAATGTTTATTAAAGGAATAAAATAAAAGAGAGAAGTGAAAGAGTAAATTAAATGAAAAGATTTTTTTTTTAAATGGAGAGAACAAACATGTAAGGGAAGACAGACAAGGAGAAGGATGGGAAAAGGAAAAAATAAAAATAAAATAATTGTAAATGAGACGTGAAAAAAAGGCATGAACACAAGAAAAGAAGGCCAGAAACAAAGACAGGCATGAAAGAAAGACTCAAAAAAAAAGAAAAGCCTGAAAGAAGAAAGAAATAAAAAGCACAAAAAAAGAAAGAAAGAAAGAAAGAAAGAAGTGAAATAAAAGAAAGAAAGAAAGAAAGAAGCAAAATAAAAGAAAGAAAGAAATGAAATAAAAGCACAAAGAAAGAAAGAAGAAGAAAGGAATCAAGGAGAAAGACATAATGCAAAATCGAAACAAAATTTCAAGAAAAAAACTGAAAAAAACAAATGAACATAAAACAATAAAGGAGAAATAAAGAAAGAATGAAAACAAAATTGAAGTTTTGAGTTGTGAAAGAAAGACTTCAAACACAAACAAAAAGAAGGAAGGAAGGAAGGAAAAGAGTAATGCTCTGAGCTAAATATAAAGGAAGTAGAGAAAGACATAAAGAAACAATAATGAAAGAGAAAAAGGAAATAAGAATATAATGGAAAGTGTTGAAGAGAAAAGAAAAAAGAAAGTAGGAAAGAAAAGAGAAAACATTATGCATAAGTGCAGCATCTCAAATGAAACTTTGCTTGTTATTAACCCTAAGGTCAATGGAAAAATAAAACCAGTAATTACAATCAGCTTCAAATAACAATATCTAAAACTTCTTTCCACTCTCAATTCATATTAATTCCAGACCCCACTCCATACACTCATTATCAATTCTACAAAAAACATCATTAATCTCACACAGAGGGCATCTGTTGCTGTTGATAAAGAAAAACCATAAAGCAGGAAAGAAAACAGAAAAAAAAAACTTGTAAACAAAGAGAATGTTTGGATTGAGAGATAGTTTTCTTCGCCTACCATCCTACTGCAAGACAAATGGTTACACTTTGTGGGTCCCAAAGGTTCAGTGATCAGTCACATATGCTGGATATTTATGAAATATATGTGGGGAAAATATTTTAAAAGTTTACTTAGAACTTATTTCATGTCTCAAATTGAGAGAAATTTAAAATTCACCAACCACAATGAACGGATGTTTCCTCAGGATGGCCATGTGCATTGAGCACCTACTGGGCCTCAGCACAGAGCTAAAGTGGAACTCATATATGCGATCGCTTGCTAAAGATGCTGGAAAATGGTTCATTCACTGTACCATTCCAACAAGTACCTGAATCCTACTGCTATCCTCTACCATTACAAGAGCCAGGTCAAGCCAAACTGCTTTTGTATATGGGCAGGAACTGCCCAGTCTGAACTTTCCAGTCTTGAGAGAGACTAAAAGCATCTCAGCATTCTTGTGAGTGATTAATATATGCCATATATATACTTTCCATCCTACAACACCTACAGATAAAATGTTACAAGCCTCTCACTGTTCTATTGCTATATCGAGGAAAGTTTTGAGACAAACTACATTCTTTAGTTCCACCAATTCTAACTGTCATAGCTCAGATATGCTATGCTGTAGAGGACCATATGGGTTTGAGTAATGTTGAATTAGAAATCTGTGCTGTTTATTCATGCTAGAAGGTCAAACTACAAGAACAATGGCGGACTCAAGTTGAATCCAACCAAAGATGTAAAGAAAACAAACAACACCAATATACATATATGTCAACAAATATATGTATTAAACACCAAATTTACAAGTGACAAAGACATTAACATTTGTGTTTGTGTGTGGATGTAAAGAGTTTGTATTTTGGTGAATGTTCGTACATATGAGTATATTTGTTTCATGCTGTTTTCCTATAAGTGGGCGAAAACACTGATCTCCATGAGAGATTAAATTTTTCAATGTGTCTGCTGAGATGCAAAGTATAAAAGAGAACAAGGCAAGAAGATGCCCAGTATTTATAGTGTAAGGAGAGTGACCCCTAGTGAATAATTAGGGAATTAAAGAGGAGCTAACTCCAACAATACAGTGCACATTGTAGCAAACCTCTTTCATATTCCATTGGTGAAAATTAAAGTTCACTCAAGGAAGGCTGCTTTAGGTAACCAACTTCCAAAAGGATGCTTCCCTGATCATCATAATCTTAACATAGGTCTAGGGTAAACCATTATCTTCACCATATATCTGCATAAGCTGTGCCTTTTACTCTAACTGAAATGTCTGTTGGGCTTTGTACAGGGTGAATACTATTGTTAAAAAAAAAATAAAAATGTCAGTAGATGTTTCTCTCTGTCAGAATTTCTCAAATGAAGCATTATCATTATTCAGACTCAGACGATTGAGTAGTGCACACTAAGACTCAGAAGAAACAGGGTGAGCAGCAACTGAGCAGTACTCAGTAAGAGCAAGACTAGGTATCCATAGACATAGAAAGAGGCCATCTCACACTGTAGATTAAATATTTTGTGATGTCAGCAAACACTCATTGCTACTTTTGTAATGTCAACAAATACTCATTGTCACTTTCATAATGTTTGTTGTAGTAGAGACTTTGTAATTGCAGATACAACTATAGTAATGCCATTGAACAATGCTGGTGTCAGATGCCTTTGAATAACACTCACACTAATAGTACTTGATAAAAATCCCTTGAAAGTAATCAGTATAGTGATCAGTATATAGAGAGAGGATAGTGTAGAAAGAGAGATTTGTATACTAATAGATGATAGAATAGAAATGATGATCAATTAGACGTCATGCTAATTCCCATATATACATTTCCTATATATATATATATATATATATATATATATATATATATATATTTTCAAGAGAAAGTGGTTGGATACAGCTGACAGTTTAGATATGTCAGAATGGGTTTGAGCATGCGTGACATCCTTATAAAAGTCTCAATCTCTTGAGGTTATTTAAGAACATGATTTGAGATGAGCAAAGGTAGATTGTAAAAATCAGTATTTAAAACCTTAAAATTGCCAATTTGTATGGGCTACACTAGATACATTTGTTTTTTGATGTCAACAAATACGCATTGCCACTTTTGTAATGTCAATGAATACTCATTATCAGTTTCATAATGCTCATTGTAGTAGAGACTTTGTTATTGCAGAAACAACTATAGTAATGCCATTAAACAATACAGTAAAGCAAAATGAGATATCCCTAAACATGGACAAAGGCCATCTCACACTGTGGATTAAATATTTTGTGATATCAATGAACACTCATTGCCACTTTTGTGATGCCAACGAACACTCGTCACTTTCATAATACACTTTCTAGTAGAGTCTTTGTAATCACAGATACAACTATAGTAATGTCGTTAAATAAACTGGTGCCAGACACTTTCAAATAACACTTGCACTAATAGTACTTGCTCGATAATATTCGCTCAAAAAGTAATCACCAAATAATAATCTATATAGTGATCTGTATAGTGATCACTTAGACGCCACACTAATTCCAATATATACATTTCCTTTACCATCACATGATTTAATTATTCAAAATGGGATTGCCTGTGTTTTCTCTCTGGTGATCTGTGTTCAAATTTCATTGTTGGCAGCAACACTTTATTTCTGTATAACAAAATAAATGTTTCAATTAGAAATTTCCTGAAGGTTATCCAGAATGAAAAACACCTGAAGAAGTTCAGGAGTCACAATGGCCAAAATGCTGGGATAATAACAACAAAGATTAGGAGAATAGTCATGAATAATATAAATAAACATTCTTTTTGTCTACTTTTCTACAAAAGTAGCAGCAGCTGCAGTAGAAAGACAAGGCCTTGGTGAGTGAAGTCAAGCATTGCAAGCAGCAGTACTCATCATCAGGCAGGCTTCAAGTTCTCCATTCAGGATTGTCCCAGTGGATTAAAGCATTGATTTGTGAAGTTTTTTTTCTATTCTTACCAATTACTAATTGGTATTATATATATATATATATATATATATATATATATATATATATATATATATATATGAAAATATAGTTTTAAGATATGCTATATTTCTATTTCTATATCATTTTCTGTATAAAAAAATTTACTAAAACTGTATATATTTCTTACTATTTTAATATTTCTTCAATGAAATATAATCTGGTTGTTGACAACCAATATCCAAATTATGTTAGAAAAATTTCTTTATCAAGAATTCACCTATGTTAATTACATGACATAATAATTTAATTACATGAAGTATCATTGCATTTTAATTACATGACATAATAATTTAATTACACAAAGGACCATCATATTTTGATTAGATGACATAATAATTTAATTACATCAAGGATCATCATATTTTAATTACTTGACATAATAATTTAATTACACAAAGGACCATCATATTTTAATTAAATGACATAATAATTTAATTAGATGAAGGACCATCCTATTTTATTTACATGACAGTAATTTCTTGTCTAAATATCAGAGGCCTTCTTATGCATAATACATTTTGACAGAAAAGTTATTACCTACAAAGGTGTTTTTTGTATATCAGGTATATATGCAAATAGAAAGATGTATATAAAAATAAATTTGCTCATCAGAAGAAAGGAAAACCAATATTTTTAAAATGAACAGATCAAAAATCAAGAATTTAAACAGGAGTCTTTAAGGTAAATTTATATATTAACCCTTTCCTTACATGCAAACATTTTTCCTTCACTGACCAAGCAGCCAATGTTACAGTTGATTGAAGTTCATAAAATCTTTCTATTAAAAATAGGTTTTTTGAGTCTATTAGCTGTTATCGCTCTTTCCAGTATTGATGGGGGCTTCCTTCCTAACCTTTTTGCTTAAAGTTGTGTGGAACGTCAACATCTTAACTATGTCATTATTTTCTCTTTCAGTTACATATGCTATCCATTTTAGTTGTTGGTGCTGTTGAAATTCCTCAAGTCATTTCTCTAATTTGGTAGCTCTTTGTTGCTGATTCTATGAAGCCAAATTACAAGGCTTGAAGAAGGAATATCTTCTCTAAGATCTAAATTGTCTCACTTGATCCACATAAATATAAAAAAAAGTGTAAAAGCAGATTACTTTAAATTATATCTAGGAGAATTTACATACCACTCTTTGAAGCCTTTGTGTCACAATAGTGCCATAGAATTTCTGGCAATTTTCTAGTTGTGAAAAGATTTCCTTGTTTTTTGCTCCAGGGGATTTGGATTGCACTGGTTTGATTTCTGAAGGAAGAGAGAAGGGAAGAGAATGGAAACAATGAGGAAGGATTTGGGTTGACTATGAAAAGTTTTTTTTTTCCAATCATTTCACCACAAGCAAGGCAATAAAGCCACTAAGATGCAAGAGGGTTATTGAGTGTTAGAGAGTAGGAGAAAAAAGAAAAAATACTATTAATTAGAAAGAATGATAAAAGAACAAGAATTAAGAAGACAGAAGATAATTGACATTACATTTAAATTTTTGAAGGTCAAAGTTGACTGGGAAGCTAGAAGCTGGAAGAGAGTTCCATGAGCAAAAATGCAATAGAAGAAACTGTTAGAGTAGAACTTACAGTTACATCTAGCCAATACAATTTTAAAATGATGAGACCTAGCTGCCAATCTAGTACTGCATTTAAATTCATAAAGTCTAAGTAACATAGAGGAAGTTTCATCAGAACCATTTTCATTACCATGAAAATATTTATAGAATAGGCACAGGAAAAGTGGCAGGATAACTGACTGAGGGTGAGATGCCAGATTAAGATGAAGAATATTGCAGATTCTTCTCTGTATTTTTTAAAGAATTTTAAATGTATAGCAAGAGCGCAAGACTAGATATGGCAGCAATATTCAATACATGGATGAATGGTAAACTTATAAACTTGTTGAAACAGTTAAATGTAACCACCTCTTCTACTCCAACCGCTTCTTCTCTCGCACTTCTTGACAGTGGAACTCTCTTCCTTTTACTTGCTTCCCTGATAACTATAATCTTCAAATATTCAAGTGTAATGTCAATTGACATCTTTTGATGCCTTGATCTTGATCTCAGTCCTTCTCTTTATCTTTCCTTGAACACCCCTCTTTACTCTTACTTTCAGTTGCTGTTACTCCTTGCATGCTAGTGTCACTCCCACCTTGCTTGGGGTGAAATGCTTAAAAAAGAAGATACTGAAGAGAAAAATTGTCTAACACAACATAGGAAACCAATTTTCCTAGCAGCATTTCTATTAGCTGATTCAATATAATATTTCCAATTCATGTCAGTGGAAAATGTTAGTCTGAGAAAGTGCAGTGAGTCACTCTTCTGGAGGTTAGCATCAGCCATGCTAATGGAAGACAGAAATATGGAAGGATATAAAGGAAATAAATAATGCCATTAAGCACAGATTAAACACACTTCTTCAGTAGTCAAACAGGCACAGAAGGTCGCTTTGAGTTAATGCTTGTGTATCTGCATACAGTAGCCTGCAGTTTTTTTCTTTTTCTTTCTTTTAAGCAAGGTAGGAGTGCCACTAGCACACATGGGGTTACAGAGATTGAGAGCAAGAATAAAGAGAGGTGTTTGGGGAAAGGATAAAGAGAAGGATGAGGATCAAGATCAAAACATCAGAACATGATGATTGACATTACTTATGAATATTTGAAGATTATAGCTATCAGGGAAGCAAGTAAGAGGAGGGGAGTTCCACTGATGGGAAGTCCAAGATCTGAAAAACATGATATAGTCCAAGAATTTCAGCAGATTCCTAAAACAATGCTGAGTATCAAAGCATAGATATATAAACTGATTTTCCTGTTACAAGGTTTAATTTATGAATCAGGTAAATATGAGATGAACAATAATAACTATTTATAACAATAAACAGTAAGTTATATGAGAGGGTTATCTCACTTGACTGGACCGAAATGCATGTGAGAAGGCACACTTTAAGAATATAAAGAGGCAGTTATATTCTCACTCAACTTTTTTTTGGTCATTTTAACTCTGCCTTTCAGATGTAGTCACACATAGACAGGAATACTGCTGACAAGGCACATTCGTTTCTTTGGTCCTCCTTTGAATTTTATACTGTCTCACATATGCATACACACACACACATGTCTATCACACATATTTTTTAAATGCACACACACACACACACCTGTGGATTACTCAACTTGACTGTGCCAAAATGCATGCTAGGGGGTACTATTTAAGCCTATAAATAGGCTTACACAAATTCTTACACAACCTCTTTTTGTTTTTTTTTAGCTTTGGCCTTCACATTTCAGAGAGAAAGAAACCAGAAGAGAGTTTGAGATAAGAAACAATTAGAATTGAACTTCATATATATACAAGAATCTAGTTACCAGTTCGCCCTGCATTTTCAACAACTATAAACAAATCACAAGGTCAAACACTTCAACAAGTTGGAATTTGACTCCAAAAAGAAATATTTTACACAAGTCCAGTTGTATGCTGCATGCTTAAGAGTAAGAAATCTTAAGAATTTATTCTTTGTTGTTAAAAGTTACTTTGCTACTTATTTTATTAACTCCACGATTTCATCAGCCACTCTCAGATAAGAACACTGCTGACAAGGTGCATTCACTCTTTTGGTCCCCTTTTAACTTTGGAACTCTCTCACACATGCATACACACGCACACACGTCTATCACACTCAGGTTTGTTTGCCACGCACTCAAACAAGCACATTCTTCTTATAACTTATTCTAATGTTTTTCCTTTTGTTACAGTTGTCTACACCTGTAATTTCTTTTGTTAATACATACATTGTCCTCAAGGACACATGGCACAGTGGATAAAGGCATTGGTTTGATCCAGTGACAGGACCCAAAGAGTGTGAGTTCAATACCCGGTTAAGGCAATGGAGAACTTTCAGAGGGAAATTAACAGGAGATAACTGACATCCATCAAACATGGCACGTGGAACTAGAACAGTCTACCCCAGTGAGCGAAATAAAGGGTTCGGTTCAACATTCCAACCACCTGAAGAAGGCCGGAGTGTACAACGGCCAAAATGTTGTGATAGATATGGCAAAAAAGATGAGGACAATAGTCCGAATAATGTCAATAATGTATATACATTGTCATTTGTTTTATATTTATTATTTTGTGTTACTAATTTTTACCTGGACTCACATTGAATTCACCAATACTGTTTGTGGAAGAAATGACCCAGAAGCCCCTAAATAATTACTAGCCAAATTGTTGATTGCCATAACATAATGGTGATAAATATTTACCCAACCAAACATATTAGTATCTCACAACAATGGGTAGAAGATTTGTTCTTACCATATATCTTATTGGGTACAATAAGAGATTAACAACAATAACTAATAATAAAATAAAACTATTCTAACAATATACTGGAATAAACTTTATGTGACAGACAGAAGATTCGTTCTTACTGTAGATCTTATTAGAAACAATAAGAGATTAACTATAACTAATAATAAAATAGAGCAATTATGACTATATAATGTAATAAAAATTATATGAAAATTGCACAATAAATAGAAAATGTATTCTTCTTGTGGATCTTAGCAACCTACATATACAATTATTAAGTGTTCCATTTAAATTAAGCTCTTTATGGCTTATGTTTGTCATATCTGAATAGCCAAAATCACTTCTCATGACCTTTGGCAGCATCATTAAGGAAACATTATTGATTCTTTATGGTGGCTTTCAGTCGTTAATTGAAATTGCCGAAAAGTAAAGTGAGGTCGTACATGTGTGTGTTTGTTTGCAGTATCAAGGAAACCTTTTGCACATACATATACACATATCTAATGGTTACCATATCAACGTATTGGTTTACAACTTAACTTCTTTTTGTAGTTCAATAAGAATACTTTGATGTACTTAGCCGAATTGACAAAATCATATTTGTCATTTTAAGGCAGACCCAAATGTTTCTCTTTTCCTCCGCAAAAAATCTGGGTGATAAATATGAAGATTCAAAATCAAGTTTCAGTTTCAAACAGCTTTCTGGAGCCTATCAAGAAACTATACATTCTCAATTTTCAGAGACCCCCACCAGTGATGCCAGGTCCCCATCTGTCCTGAACAATGAATCAAATAACTGTAAGGAAGTGAGATTGCTGATAAAATGATAACCCAAGCTTTCATTACTTGGTAATACATTTTATTTCACTTGAACACTTCAGTTACTGTTGGCTAGATTGCATGAGCAGCTCCATCACCCAGGGTTCAAATATGAACCTTACATTTTTAATTTGCAGCATTTGTGTTATGAAGGGGTGGTGCTGATTAATGGACATCACAAGACTCAAATCTTTGATTATTTAACATTTTATTCACTTCAATATTTTTTTTCAATTACTGTTAGCTAGTCTTTAATGAAACTCTGATTGCCCTGAGTCTGATACACTGCCTATCTGCAATATTTGTGCAATGAAGTCAGATACCAATTAAATGATAACATGAGACATGTATCTTTGTTACTTAATATTTTATTCACTCTACTATTTCAGCAATCACTCTCAGTCAGTTTGTGGTGTGACATCTGTCACCTTGGGTTCAAATGTAGTCTTTAAATAGCAGAGTAGCAATGTTTGTGAGACTAACCAACTCGTTTCTGGAGTGGTTTGTATAACCATCCATCCAATGGTTTATCTTACATATGCACATATCAGGTGAAGGATCACAGATATTTACCTACTGGGGTCACCAATGAGAGCAGGTAAATCATAGATTTCCACCCCTGGTAGGAATCATCTCAAGCTAGTCCTGCACTTGGTGACCTTGGTCTGGTGTGAAATTATATGCAAAGCCTGTTCTAGCATAATGACACATTACAAGCTTGACGTGAAGAAAATCTGTCACACAATATTTTATATTTTTTCACTTTCTCATCACTTAAGTAAAGCAACTTCCAAGGCAACGCAAAGTCAGTTCAACTTAATGAAAAGGCTATTTTTAAATCATTTCACCCCAAGTAAGGTGCTAACCTCACTAAGATGCATGGAGTTACTGAGAGCTAAAGAAAATGAGAAAATGTTAGAAAAGAGAAAGGACAATAAAAGAACAGAAACCAGAAGAGAATTTGAGATAAGAAACAATTAGAATTGAACTTCATATATATACAAGAATCTAGTTACCAGTTCACCCTGCATTTTCAAGAACTATGAACAAATCAAGTTGGAATTTGACTCCAAAAGGAAATATTTTACACACACCCAGTTGTATGTTGCATGCGTAAGAGTAAGAAATCTTAATTTATTCTTCATTGTTAAAAAAAGTAAAAATGAAAAACATAATTTTTCTTTAAAAATATTGTCTACCATGAAATCCATGAAAAATATCACAAAAATAAAGGATGATGAACTGAAAAAAGTCCAGGAATACATGTAGTAGCATTAAAGAAAGATTATAAAAATAAAATGAAATGATTTATAATGACTGGTTGGAAAGCATTTAACAAAAATATACTGAGAATAAAAAGTAATTTACCAATATACTTGAACCATAAAGTATATAATGAATCTATAATTCTATGACGTACAAAACGTGGAAATTAGCAAAATTGTTTTAAAAGAACCACACAAAATGTTAGTGAAAATAGTGTATTAGTAAATATTAGTCAATTTTTCAATGAAAATTTACATGAAGAAGGGAAATAATGTAAAACAATCTCTTTATTTCTGGTATCTTCAAAAAGATATGATAATTTTATTGTTATCTTACTGTTGTGCTTTTGTACTAAGCTGGTCTCCTATGCAAGAAACCCAAAATAAAGATCTATCATGTTTCAGTTGAACCAGACTTCATACTTTCAGTCTATCTCAGATATGTCCTGGTAGAATCTCTTACCATACTCATCACATATGACATACCTTTCTGACTGAGCAATGGTTTTTAATAGGTCACAATAAAATTTAGACAGGTAACAATATTTTTTAAATGTTCAATAATGTAATATTTTTCTCACAATGAATTGATTTAGGAGAGGTAACAATAAAATTATTTTGTTTTAACTTCCAAAAGATAAAACCTTTCTGATCAAACAATTATTTTGGAGAGGTAACAATAAAATTTGCAATTTTGATTTGAACTTCAAAAAGATAATACATTTTTGTTTAAGAAATGATTTTGGAAAAGTAATAATAAAATTTTTAAATTTTTCTAAAAATTCAACAATGTAATTTTGCAATTTTGATTTGAACTTCAAAAAGATAATACATTTCTGTTCAAGAAATGATTTTGGAAAAGTAATAATAAAATTTTCAAATTTTCAAATTTTTCTAAAAATTCAACTAAATAATATTTTTCTGACATTGCAATGATTTTGGACAGGTAACAATAAAATTTTTATTTCTTTTTAACTTCAAAAAGATAATACCTTTTTGACTGAGCAAGGATTTTAGACAGGTAACTATAATTTTTTTTTAAACTGCAAGATATACCATAATTCCCCATGTATAATATGCCTTCATCCATAATATGCACAACTAAAATTGTGCTGAATGTGTGGGAAAATTCTACTCATGCATAATATGCACCCCTCGTTTGGTAATTAAACCCTATAAACTGTACCTCGCCAATTTCATTATGGCTAATATTTCCTACTTTTATTTAAAACATGGTTTTAAACATAAAATAATATTATTCTAATTTAGTTTTATGATAATTCTTATTTTATTTTACAGCAATTTTTTAAAGATTTTTTGGGAGCTGTGCATAATACGCACCGCTGAATTTGTCTATTTTTTAGAAAAAAATGTGTATTATACATGGGGAATTAGAGTACCTTTCTGACAGATTTTGAACATGTATCAATAAAATTCTCAAATCCTTTTTTAAAAATTCAAAAAGACATCTTACTGATTGAGCAATGATTTTGAACAGGTAACTATAAAATTTTAAAATTTTTTAAAATCATCAAATAGATAATACCTTTCTGACTAAGCAATGATTTTGGACAGGTATCAGTAAAAATTATTACAGGAGACTTGAGAATATCTTCTCTGGGTGTGGTCAGTCCATCCATGTTATCAAGTAATTTAGCACCATTTATATTTGCTACTTCCTCATCAGAGGGGTCAGTTGCTGGTGTTGTCTCACCAACTTCCTGAAAAGAGAAAGAACTATGTATAAATGTCTGCAAATATTCTCTACAGAATAGAACACACTGTCTAATGATAATTAAAAAAAACGGTTTCACAAAAAAGAAAAAAGGTTTAGCAGGCTATTTCTGACACTCAATATCAAGAGACAGAGCATTAAAAGCAATAAATAAATTTAAAGGATCATTTATCTTGGCTTCTAGTATAGGTGGGAGTTTCCTTCCTAAACTTTTGTTTAAGTTAGTGTGGAAAGTTGATGATATTAAATTTTTGTATGAGGAAAAAGAGGAACAATTATCACATTTGGGTTTTTATCTTCAGCAATACAGAGAGGAAAGTTTTAGTCTTTATTATGTCTTGTCATTTTCCCGTTGTACAGCAGGGAATGCTAGATAATTTCCTCACAGATGAAGAAGAGACTTGAAAGTTAAAGGATCACTTATCTCATCTATTTAGAGTTTGTTTTCTTTTTTTTTGCTGTATTACATCCAGTTGTTATGATATTTGATTCTAAAATTTTAAAATCAAGCCTCCTGATGAGTGGATAAAATCTTCATGAAACTGTTTATATAATTTGTGATTTCACAAGATTAAATAAATACATGAAAATTTACTCTAATGAATGCACACATAGTGTTATGGGGATTAGTCATGGTGAGATTAACCATTTCCATACAGCAAACATTAGGCATTCATTCACTGAACAGTTAGTATTTTTTACAATTATTTCTTTTGAAACATTTTTGTCAGGAAATTAAACTTTGCAAGTTCCTTAACTGATAACATATTTTCTGTTATAGTTGGGAGTTTCCTACCTAACCTTTTGTTTAAGTAAGTGTGGAAAGTTGATTATATTAAATTTTGGTGTCAGGAAAAAGAGGAACAATGTTCACAGTTGGATTTTAACTTTCAGCAATGCAGAGAGAAAAGCTTTAATCTTTACTAGCAGCATGGCTTGGCGTTGCCTGTGCTTGATTCAAAAATTGTACAACTCATACAGCAATCGCTATCACTTGACTTAAAATATGTTTGCCCTTCCTTGCCTTTAAAGGAGAGCCCTTTGCCGTGCTGATGTTGCTACATGCCTTACTTCTTGCCTATCTCACACTTCAAATTTTTTCTAAGCTCTATACTAAACATTAAATCTGTTACGAAAAAAGAACTAAACAAAATGAACACAGAAGGATTTGCTTTAAAAAAGGACTCGTAACTGGAAAAACCGAATGAAAAAAGAATGTTAACAACAAATACTTTTTCACACCAAACCCAGTTCTGCAGAATCAGAATCAACGCTGAGTTTTAGCAAGCAAATGAGCCAATTGGAGTAAAGTGCCATCCAAATTTAAATTTTTCCCACTTGTGATGAATGCAGCTATTGATTTTTTTGCATGCTAGTTAACATTCGTGTCAGTCAGCTGTTGACTCTCACACTGACCAATAGAATCTTCCTGCCTATTCATGGCAGCCAGCTATTGGATCTCACTCTGGCCGCAAACTACATGAAAACTGCCGTAGAAGCATGAAAAAATTGATTATTTCCACTATCGATGGGAATTGGAAAATGCAAAGTTGGTCTTGGCCTTCCCACTAACTTGGAGCACGTGCATGTAAATGTTGGTGCAAATCTGTTGAAAATTGTGGCCATGCATTCTTTACACACACATCCTGCCTTTTATAGATAGAGATTACACCTTGTCATTTTACTGTTATATAACAGGGAATGCTAGATAATTTCCTCACAGATGAAGAAGAGACTTGAAGCAACAGTGATGTTGTCCTAATGACAAATGCTAAGAATATCATGTACAGAACATGTAAGCACCAAAAGATGTCTTAAGGAAAACAGGATCCACAAGGGAACACTCAATCAGAAAGAGACAGAAAAAAAGGAAACAATTTGGTAAAAAAATAAATATGTAGCTTCTGAAAAGATTTGAACTCACATTCTTTATCCTTGGGGGCCTGTCTGATATAAACAAAACTTTGAAAATTTGGCTAAAGAAACCCATCAAGTTCATATCTGACCCCCTAGCTACACTAGTCATTATTCAGTTTTTTTCTATACTATCTAGTTTGTTTACACCTTGTTGGAGCAGACGTAATAGTCTTAAGTTGCCCATATTTTTCATATACTGCAGGATAACTAATTTTCCATTTTCTTCCACTATCTCTCAGGTACACATGACATTGCCTTGGTGATGTAGAAACTTTCCCATATCTTGCTAAAAGACTTCCAGTACATAAAACTCGACCACACAATTAAAAAGATATTTAGGGAGAACCCACTCAATGCCAGGCATCAACCTCCCAACCTAGAGACACTCCTAACATCATCTAGCATACATAAATCACCACCTCACCATGTTAACAACACCAGCAATACACACTACCCCAAAGCCAAGTTTGTAAATATGTCATCATTGATAGTATTTCCATGCCTGCCTACCAGCACACGTACAGTTACCAGACCTCTGACATTGACTTGTGACTGTTCAAACATTGTATATATTTACATTTTTGCAACAAACAGGAAAAGAAAAATTATGTCAAAGACAGAATTCTGTCTTCAGTTCAATAACCATAGAAATACAATCAACGACAACAGCAATTTCCCTGTTGTTGCACATTTCAGCCAACCAGACCACAGCATTGATAATGTCAGCTGTATGCTTTTAGTGTCTCCATTTAATTGCCAATGAAAATGACATAAGCCTGAGTTAAAATATATTTTCAAAATAGCATCACATATTAAAGGATTAAATAGGAATTTATGTTTCCTCAGAAATATACTGATTCCACAGTTTTCCTTCTACAAACCTTCCACAACTCTAATCCGTGGCAAATTACTAAGGCAAAAATATTAGATTTCTTACAGTAATAGAACACATGGAAAAAAACAAACAACAACAACAAAAAAATGTGTCCCATTTCATTGTATATTTTTTATCTTATTGATAAAGGACACAGGTATGTCTGAAAATTCCAACTTTGAAATCTCTCTCTCTCTCTTTGTACTTTGGTTTAGGCAAAAGAGCTACTAATATATAATAAATATCACCAGTTTTATTGACAACATTTTTAACATTTTATGGTCTTTTTATTCTTCAAATTTCATTAACCGGTTTATTAAATCTACATACTCTAAAAGCAAATGTGGACGATCTTTTGATATATATATATATATATATATATATATATATATATATATATATATATATATATGTGTGTGTGTGTGTGTGTGTGTGTGTGTGTGTGTGTGTGTACAGGGGGTGAAGAAGAAATTGTCATCTAAATTACACAAAAGTTTTTGTGATTTTCTTTCTTCTTTTGATGATAATATTATTAAGCTTATCAGACGATATGAAAAGAATTTACATAAAATAAATAGACAAAACTTGTCTACATTATTTAATGAAACATGCATCAATATATATATATATATATATATATATATATATATATATATATAAATCTTATAAGAAACCTTATAAGTATAAGAAACTATATATATATATATATATATATATATATACACTGAGAGATTTTGTGTTGTATTATTATGACCAGTTCTTTTGTGTCATTCTCTTATAGTTATACATTTTCATATAATTTTAAACCATTTTAAGAGAGAGACTTAATGCAACAGAAGCGTGATTCTACAGAAGGACCTTAAGAATACCATTTTTGGAACATGTGAGCAACAAGCAAGTTTTAAGCCAAATGAAAACAAATAGGAAATTGACAGAATCAGAAAGAGACACTTGAAATTTCTAGAACACATAAAGAAGAAAAAAGGGTTGGAAAATTTGGTACTCACAGGACATCAGGAAAGTAAGAGAGAGTAGGGAAACAGCAAGTAACACAGTTAACAAGTTTGTGTGAATAAATAGCAGGTAATAGGTGGGGTAGTAAAAATTAAAATATTGCTAAGAGCAACAAAAGATAAGAAGTGGTGAAGTGCCATGATTGCCCACATCTTAAACAGAGATGGCACACAAAGAAGAAAAGTTTCCCCTTTTCAGGTATTGATTGAATTTGTTTTTTTTTTTACTTTTTTCCGTGCTAATAGGAAATATGAAATTGACAAACATGGTAGATAAATAGTAACAGGTTTATTGTAGAAACCAGTACAACAAGCAAGGAAATAATAGATATGTGCACGGTCGTCGCAAGTCAGTACAGTTGTGGGCATGCTGTTATCAGAATGCTGCAAGTTCTCGCAGATCCCAGCTCGATGCTATTTAGTAATTGTCCCATGCAGTCACATGTGGCACAAGGCCGAATTTAATGTGGGTTCCAAAAAATCCCCATTGCCCCTGCATAAAAGGGATCGGATCTGTCTACCTCCCTGGACGAAACTCTGCCCTTTGGCATAGCCTCGTCCGTGTTCCTCCCTGCCCGAAGGCAGAGAGTTCAACTAGCACAGCTGGGAAAGATCCCAGCTTCATGCTATTTAGTAACTACCCCATGCAGTCACATGTGGCACAAGGCCGAATTTAATGTGGAGGCTCGGCCAAAAAATCCCCGTAGACCCCGCATAAATGGGACCGGGTCTGTCTATCTCCCCGGATGAAACTCTGCCCTTCGGCATAGCCTCGTCTGGGTTCCTCTCTGCCCAAAGACAGAGCGTTCGACTAGCACATCTAGGAAAGATCCCAGCTCGACTCTCCTGTCAGCTGTCCTAATGGATACTTGTAGGTGGTTACCACCTCTAGTGCCACCACTCATGGGGTTGGCAGGTTATTCCATTACATCACTTTTATTACTTGTTATTTTATAGACCATTATTGCAAAAATGGGTAATTGTTATTCTTATATTATTATAATATATGAGTTCAAACTGTCGGGTTTAGCCTATCTTGTCTGCCAGGATACCTGCTAGAGAGTTTGACAATCTGCATTATAAAAGTAAGGGAATAACTCT